CATGGCCGCGTAGTGACGGCCTCGACCACTGCCGCTCGACCTGACCGGAGAAAACCGTAGCAGGAAGCTAGCGAAGTCGTAGTATATATCGTCAAATAGAACTGCCCGGTAAACCGTAGGCAGAGAGGAAGAAGAGGACAACAAACGAGGGGCTGTGACAAACTGTTATATATATATATAAACGAAACAGTTTGTCACAGCCCCTCGTTTGTTGTCCTCTTCTCTCTCTGCCTACAGTTTACCGGGCAGTTCTGTTTGTGACGATATATATATATCGTCACAAACAGAATATATATATATATATCTATTTGTGACGATATATATATATATATGTTTGTGACGATATATATATATATATAAGAAATACAGCTGTCTTCTCCTCATATATAAGGGACAAGCTGTATTTACTACCCTATTTTCTTCTATCAATATTATGTCAACCTCACACTAGCTACCTACCTAGCCTACATCATCCACTCACGTATATTAGTATGGAGACTTGCCTTATCTTTACACTAGTCTGACCACTTTTTCCATCTCCTATTACCTACCTCGGGCTGTGTACTTGAACCGGTCTACTCACCTTCCAGACCTGCAAGGGGCAAGGCGACCAGACCAGCAAGGAACCGAGCTCCACTTTCGACGGACAACTACAGGGTTTAGGGTCAAGGACTACACTGAAACCAGCTACACTAAGCCCTAAAATCTAGTCGTAGCTAAGACTAAGTTATCCTAAGAGTTATGGGTTGAGCCTATCCCCTCAGGGTTTGAGCCTAACCCCTGGCATCGGGTGGGAGGGTGGCACCAACACGGTAGTACTGTGTAGGCATGTTCTTCTTTTTTAGGGAAGGAGGGTGGGGTGGCAGGGAGGAGGGAGGATAGCCCTTAACATGACCGTGTCCATCAGGGTTTGGAGTTTGAACTGTTTATAGAGAGGTACATGTGTGTACCGGTCAGCCACAGGGTTGGCATGTCCTTTTTTTTTTGTTTTGGTTAAATCTTGTTTTTTTTTGTGTTTTAGGGCCTGCAACCGGCCGGTCGAGCTGACCCGGTCGAACCGGGCCCGGACCAGCCCAGGGGGGGTCAACCGGCAAACTGGATGGCCCAAAAAAAATGCCCATTTTTTTTTTTCTTCGTGTTATCCGACTGCGCTTGCCGAGATCTGTCGGATTCTGCAATAAAACTTTGAAGGTTGGAATTTTTTTTAGGGGTGTGCCGGGAAGAGGGGGGGGAACACAAGGACGATGAAGGAGCTTTGAAAAAAAAAAGAAATTAATGGCTATGGCTAACGGAGGAGGAGGAGAAGAAGAGGAGGAGAAGCAGAGGAGGAAGAAGAAGAAGATGACGAAGAAGAGGGAGGAGAAGAATAGGAGGAGGAGGAGGAGGAAGAAGAATATGACGAACAAGAGGGAGGAGAAGAAGAGGAGGAGGAGGAGGAGGAGGAGGAGGAGGAGGAGGAAGAAGAAGAAGAAGAAGAAGAAGAAGAAGAAGAAGAAGAAGAAGAAGAAGAAGAAGAAGAAGACAAGGAAGATGGAGCTTCGGGAAAAAGAAAAAAAATCATGGCTATGGCTAACGGAGGAGGAGAAGAAGAGGAGGAGGAGGAGGAAGAAGAAGAACAAGATGGCGAAGAAGAGGGAGGAGAAGAAGTGGATGAGGAGGAGGAGGAGGAAGAAGAAAAAGATGATGAAGAAGAGGGAGGATAAGAAGAGAAGGAGGAGGAGGACGGGGAAGAAGAAGTAATAGATGACAAAGAAGAGGGAGGAGAAGAAGAGGGAGGAGAAGAAGAGGGAGGAGAAGAAGAGGAGGAGGAGGAGGAGGAGGAAGAAGAAGAAGAAGAAAAAGAACGCAAGCAAGAGGAAGATGATCTGATGACAAATAAAAGAGATGGACAAGCCGATGGATAACAGAGGAGGAGGAGGAGAAGAGAGGAGGAGGTAGAAGAAGATGACGAAGAAGAAGGAGAAGACGATGGCAACGAGGATGGAGTAAATAAAAAATAAAAAATGGATGGCTGTGGCTAACGGAGGAGGAGGAGAAGCAAGAGGAAGAAGAACATGACGAAGAAGAGGAAGATGGATGAAAAAAAGGAAAAACAAATTGACCCCTACGGTCCAATGGCTAGCAGACGAGGAGGAGGAGGAGGAGGAGGAGGAGGAGGAGGAGGAGGAGGAAGAAGAAGAAGAAGAAGAAGAAGAAGAAGAAGAAGAAGAAGGAGAAGAAGAAGAAGAAGTGGAGGAGGAGGAGGAGGAGTGGAGGAGGAGGAGGAGGAGGACGAGGAGGTCGTAATTAAATAAATAAAAGCAGGAGTGGAAGAAGACAACGATGAGGAGAGGAGAGGAGGAAGTAGACGGGGAGAGGAGAAAGGAGATAAAGAAGAGGAGGAGGGGGGGAACAGAAGCAGAGTGAAAGAAGTCTAAGAAGAAGAAGAAGAGGATGAGGAGTAGAAGAGAAGCAGGCTAGGAGTAGAAGAAGGGAAGAAGACAACGAGTGGGAGAAGAAGAAGAGGGTGGAGAAGACGAGCAGACGTCGAAGAAGAAGAAGAAGAAGAAGAAGAAGAAGAAGAAGAAGAAGAAGAAGAAGAAGAGGAAGGACGAAGGGGGGAGGGGGGTTGCAAACCTTGTCCACTGGGGGCGCAATGGCGTGGCTCGTCGGTGGGGGGCACGATAGCGCGGCTGGCTGTCGTCGGCGGGGGGCGCTATGGCCTCGTCTGCAGTGGGTGAGCGGGGTTGAACACACGATGCATTTTCCCCCGCTGCGCGATTCGCTTTCCCGCCCAACAGTGTTCGAAACAGTGGCCGATCTTTGCAGCTGATCTGCGACAATTGGTGGCCAAGATTGGCCACTTTTTCCACTAACCCCAGGAGGTGTCCGAAAGACATCTGCAGATTCTGCACTGCCAAAAAAAAAATTCAGCCCCCTGCGAAAATGTGCTGGGGGCGACCAGGAGGGAACTGCCCCGGGCCACTGGCCGGTGACCCCGGTTGGGGGAGGGGTCCCCGGTCCATCAGGGGACCAGCCCTGTTTTTTTTTTTTTACTTTTTTTTCTTTTTTTTTTGAAATTGTAGTAGCAGAACATTTTTCAGGGGGAGGGCACTTGCAGGAGTGTTCATCGAACAGCTCCCTTTTTATTTTGTAAGCTAGCTGGTGCCGGTAGTTAAGCCAGCACTGCTGCCGAGCCTATCTTTCCCAATGCATGAGTTTGCCCGCCTCTGAATTTCTGAGCCATCGCGGGCGAGATCCTTCTGAGGTACTGCTAGCCTTTTTGGTCCAGCAGGACGAACCTTTCTGTACGACCGGTTGAACCGGTGAGTGATCGAAGGGTAGGTGGTTTGGGTACCCGTTGTTTAAGGGGGTGGCCCCTGGACAAGGTGTCTGTCCTCAAGTGGGCTCCAGATAACCGTCAGTATTACTGACCATCGGGGTTCACAGAGCACCCAGTCTCAGAATGAGAGGCTAGGCAAGATAGGCTCCGCATCACAGATTCTATAAGACAGGTTTGGCAAGATAGGTTCGGTTCAAGATAGGCTTGGGAGTGAATGCTGTACTTCAAACCAGCTAGCTGTACCTTGGGTGCACTCTCCGGAACACGGACAGTGCGGCCGAACCGTGTGCAAAAGGAATACACCCTTTGGATTTTTTATCAGATGGTGGCAGTTTGCTTGGCGACTACCCAACGGCAGGTGGTGGATGGAAACCACCCCTCTCCCCATGATGTGCACTTCTGGTTTAAACCACCGCCGCCTTCTGAGAAACCGGGTCAGCTGCTGCAGACATGGGAAAGGAAAATGTTGCCGTCATAGGATCGTCGAATCAATCGAACCAGCTGAGAAAGGGCATTCGTAAAAGGTATAGCAGTGGTTTAACCTGATGAGCAATTCTGCCTTCACCCCAGCACCAGTTTGTGTGTGGGTCTTGTACTCTGTTTACTCGACTATGACGTCTCACCACTTGCGATTGTCGCCTTCTCGCTTGGTGTGCACCTTGTGGCAGGTAGTGGATTGCCACTGGATGGAGTGGTTGGGCTTGACGATCATTGTGAACGGGTCATAAAGTTGCTCCTAGATGAGGACGATGCTGCTTTGGCGGAAAACAGGCACCTCAGATCCATGGAAGGTAAAAGCCGGTGTGCCATGGGTGGATGGCCTTTGATCGGCCTGTGGGGGATGGGTGGTGTGGGGAAGACCACTCTGGCAACTGCTGTGTTCCAGTCACCGGTGCTGAGGGAACATTTTGCAGGCGGAATGTTCTGGGCTCTTATTGGACGGAGGCCTGATATTTGCCGGACACAGATTGCCCTCTGGAAGAGGCTGAGTGGAGATGAGAGGCTGGATTACTCATACAGGAGCTACACGAAAGAGCTGTGGTACGAGAAGCTAAAGACGGAGCTGAAGAAGAGACGTGTGCTTCTGGTGCTGGATGATGTGTGGAAGCGGGAGGATGTGAAATGGCTGGAGGTTGTCGATCAGAGCGTGAACAGTAAAATCCTTTTGACAACAAGGCATGCTGATGTCATGGTGGACAAGGTCAAGGAGTACCCGTACTACGTGCGAATGCTGGATAGCAAACATTCCTTCCAGCTGTTCTGTCAGCATGCATTTGACGGAGGCATAGATGCTGCACCGACAGAAGTGCACAAAATTGCACGCAAGGTTGCAGATAGCTGCTGCGGTCTTCCCATCGCGCTAAAAATAGCAGGCTCAAGGTTCCGTAGTGCAACAGTGGAAAAATGGAAGGATGCTCGGCGCAGGATGCAGAGAGGGCTTGATCCTGTGCGCGCAGAGGTCCAAGATCCCAGGATTACGGAAAAGGATGCTCGTGAGCGTGTCCGTGACAGCATCAATGCACTGGACGAGGTTGATAAGCGCCTCCGAGGTCTGCTGTATGACTTTGTCTTTTTCAAAGAAGACAAATGGGTTCCCCTCAACCATATCGTCGAGATTTGGGCAGCCAATCTTGAGATCGGTGACAAGGTTACGGCCTTCACCCTTCTGAGCTTCCTGATTGGGCGATGTCTGGTAGATTGGCATCCGACGGCATACGACCTCCGTGACAAGATTGCGTGCAACATGTATGGCGCCCTGATGAAGCATGTGTCACATGGCTTCTGTGGGCTGCATGATGTCGTTTGGGAAGTCATTGAAGAGGATGTAGATGCTTTGCAAGAAGATGATGGGGACCACGCACGGATCATTATCAATTGGCATCGTCATCAATTGGGATCGTCAGTTCGAAGGCTTGGGGGTAGGTCGGTAAAGCGCCTGTTAGTGCACAGCATGCCAGTGTCCGTGCAGAACTGCGCTGTGAGTCAGCTATTGAAGGGAAAGCCTGCTCTTCAGCTGAGCAAAATGGAGGTGCTCCACTTGAAAGGGTCGTTGGATGGAGAAGTGGGGGCGCATGGGTGTATGTTGGGGGGAAATGGAGATTCGCGTCCTCTGAAGTGGTTGCGTTCAATCCTACCCAGAACCGGTCTCTCTGAAGGAAAGCTGAACCACCATGCTCTCCGGGTTTTGGATTTGCAGTATTTGTGGAAAATTCCCGAAGACTTCTCCGCTTTCCCCAATCTTGTAGTGTTCAAAGTCAGGAGCTTTGATCATTGCAGCACCGACGACGACTTCAGCCTCCCGGTCGTCTACCAGCCTTTGCCAGTCAACATTGGGCTTGCTTCTCAGTTGCAAGTGGTGGAGGTCTTGGGGTTTGTTCTCAAAATCGGTATCCCTATCTCTATCCTAGGGCTGAGGCATCTGCGTGAGCTTCGCTTGAACTCTATGCACACTCCCCGGATACCGAAGGAGGAGCTGGAGACGGACAAGTTAATCAGTGGCTACATGCCCTTTGACGAGTTTACAAGACGTGTGCTGACAAACTTCAAGCACATCGAAGAAGTGTGGCTACCCTATCGATCACCCGTCAAGGCTCTGGGGGACATGCTGCCCTCCAACCGCAGGGCCATTAATGGAATGGCAAGTCAGCGTGGTCTCTATCCACATTGTCATGATCTTTTCACGCCTAGCTCGTGTGACAGCAATCTGCTGATTCATCGAATAGAAAACCAGCCTTACCAGTGGGCCTCCCCAGAAGGACTTCGCTTGAAGGTGCTGTCCGTATGGACAGAATCCTTGTCAAACTTTTGTTCCTGGGACCTCCTTGACACTTTTGCAAACCTTGAAGTCCTGACTCTCCAGGTCCACGATGCTGATGCCATTCGGCTGTCCGAAGACATCAGCCATCTCCGCAATCTTCGTCATCTCGTCATCATTATCGATCAAGGGAGCAGCCAGAAAACCGACCTGGGAGTGGCTGAAAACCCTCAGGCATTCCCTTCTCTGGAGGTTCTGAAGATTTGGACCAAGCAGCCCATCCCGGTCCCCGAGTATCGGGCCAATGCCTTCCCAAAGCTGCACACGATGGTCATCAGCAAACTGTGGTTGGATGACACCTTTGAGATGCTTCACATATGGCCATCATTATGCCATGTGGTGGTACATGACGGCTACCACAGCGATGAGAGGTGGAGGCACCCCCGATTGCGAAGGCAGGAGCTCAAGATCACAATCAACAGGTGAGGGTCACTGAGGCCCACACACATTAGCACCGTTCCCCTAACACCTACTCTTCTTCTCCTTTCTCCCCTCTTACCCCCCCCCCCTATCAACCCCCCTCCTCCCCGCCCCCACCCCCCACCTCATCTCACCCTCTCTCCGGATACTTCTCAAATAGAATCCTTGTTTTTATTTATGTTTTTAGTTCACACAGCCATGACAACGGAAGCCATCTTCGATCCACCCATGAAAAACTGCGGCCAGGGCAACAAGAGGCCCGCCGGGCGCTCCCGTGGTGTCCCTTGCCTGGTGCCACTGGCCAAGCAGGAGCAGATGCGGGGGAATGAGCGAAAAGTCGGCGCCGTTTTTTTCAATGCCAGGTGGGCTGACGGGCGGGCACGAAACTGGAAGCGGGGACTGTTGCCGTGGGCTCTCTCTCGCTCGCTCTCTCTCACACACACACGCTCTCTGTCTTGGTAGATTTGAGCGGCTAGGATCGGGCTCGTACTAGCAAGCGATTCTCTCTTTTTGTGGTTGGATATTGTCTTGCCGGTTTTGTTGATTGTACATGGCCTAATTCTTCGCTCTGCTTTAGAGCACGGGCTAGTTTGGATGTTTACGGGTGGCAACAAGTTCTCTTTGGGGGGAATGTATGTTTTGTGGGCCGCTGTGGAAGGCTTTCCCAGTTTTTTTGGACCCTTAGCAGGGGGGGTCGGTGCGTTCTTGCTGGAGGAGCCTTCTGTCTTAGGCAAGTTGTCTCTTATCTTCTTCCTCCTCTTTGGCAGTGACGCGAGTGTGTAGTTTGAGATGAATGACGGGAATGCCAATGCTGTTATATTTGTTTGTTTTTGATAAATGTTTGTGGGCCGATGCGGAAGGCTTTCCAAGTTTTTTCAGACCTTTGAGGGGGTCGGGTCGGTGCCTTCTTGCTGGAGTAGTCTTCTGTGTTAGGTAAGTTGCCTTCTGCCCTCCATTCCCTTGTGGTTTGAAATATATATGTATGCATATGTATATGTGCAAGTTTGCGGCTTTGGCGGCAGACGGGTCTGTGGGCACTTGGCGCTGAACCACACAAACGTGGCCGACCTTGCATTTTCTATTATATTGACTATCTATGCTTTTTCGTTATGGATGGCTTGTGATGATTTGTGAAGGGAATGAGAGAGAGAATCTCAGGTCTTTTAAAACAACACACATTCCGGTCTTGCTAGCTCTCTGTCTTGGCAGATTTGAGCGGCTAGGATTGGGCTCGTACTAGCAAGCTATTCTCTCTTTTTGTGGTTGGATATATGTCTTGTTGGTTTTGTTGATTATACACGGCAGCTAAATTGACGAACCAAAAGTTTCAAGTTTCCGAGCCCGACTGCTACAGTAACAAGCTGAAAAGAAAAACCTCGGGGTACTGGTATCAGCCTACCTTGAAACTCAAGTGCTGTACCTCGTGCCAGCAGATGGCACCGAAAAGACAACCAAAAAAAAAAAAAAAAAAAAAAAAAAAAAAAACTCTGTGCCTACGGTTTACCGAGCAGCTCCGTTGGGGCTAAAGAGGTTTAAACTTTAAAGGGGGGTGCCTTCGTGTGATTCTGTCATTTTCTTTTTTTATCTCTGTTTCGGTGAGGAATTCTAATGCAACCCTCAGCCAAAAGTCGCTTATATTGCAATTCTACAGAACATATTTTTTTCTGGATTTTTTTTTTTTTTTTTTTTTTTTGCCGCTGAGGCTGCCCGGAACCCTGCCCGGGTGTGTACCCGGGCGTAAGTTGGGTGCCCTGGCGCCCGGAAAAACAGCCTAGTATATATATATTATATATATATCGTCAAACAGAACTGCCCAGTAAACCGTAGGCAGAGAGGGAGTAGAGGACAGCAAATGAGGGGCTGGGACTAACTGTTTCGTCAGAGTTTCACCGACTCATCGGGAGGCTGAACCCTCAACAGTCTGCAGAATCCCCTAACTGATTACACGGTAAGTGTTAATCCACCTTAACCCCGGTTGTGGTTAAGCATCACTGTTTGTGACGATATATATATTTGTGACAATATATATATATATATATGACTATATATATATATATCGTCAAATAGAACTGCCCGGTAAACCGTAGGCAGAGAGGGAGAAGAGGACAACAAACGAGGGGCTGTGACAAACTGTTTCGTCGGAGTTTCACCGACTCATCAGGAGGATGAACCCTCTATATATATATATATATAGGGTTCAGCCTCCTGATGAGTCAGTGAAACTCCGACGAAACAGTTTGTCACAGCCCGTCGTTTGTTGTCCCCTTCTCCCTCTCTGCCTACGGTTTACCGGGCAGCTCTGTGTGACCATACTGCTGCATCAGTTTCTGCTGCTGCAGTTCCCACCTCTGCAGTTTCCACTGCTGCGGCTTCCACTGTTGCGGCCTCCACTGCTGCGGCTTCCACTGCTGTGGTTTCCTCTGCTGCAGTTTCTACTGCTGGAATTCCCCGTACTCTACTTTTTGCTGCTACAGCTTCCTCTGCTGCATCCCCAGCACAAAGAACATCACAGTCTCTTCGACACTCACGTCCTTTGTTTCAAAATCTTGCCCTTTCCACCCCCTTTTTATCTCTTTCTGTGCTTGGCCGCAGACGGCTGCATTCCTCCTCGCCACCACCATCTCCTCGACAGTCTCACTTATGAACAGACTCTCCGGTTTCCATTGTTCCCATCGTTCCACCTTCGTTGCCAGGGACATGCTCATCTTCTGGTTCCAACACCACTACTCCTCTTGTTGTGTATTGTCGACGACATGTGCAGCATCGTCACTTGTCTGGGGATCAGCAGCCTGTTTCTTTGTCTGGCCCAATTCTCTTCTCTGCATCTCTCTTCCTTGTGTTTCTCACCTCCCACTGGGGATCGCCAAGATTGGTGAGGATCTCAGGCTGGTGTGCCGGATGCTGGCCAACATTTGTCCCTCACTACGAGAAGAATGAAAGAAGAGTAGGACAACGCTGTGGTGGAGGACAAGCGGGAGGAGGCAATGATGGAAAAGAATGATGAGGATATGCCTACCACGGATCAGGAGGACGAAAAGGAGGAGGGTGGTACAATCGAGGATGATGACGCTTCGATGGAAGCGGACGAGGAGGCGGAGGCTACAATGGAGAATGAAGACAACGTGGACGACAAGGAGGAAGGAGGAGCAGGGCGCTACGATGAAGGAGGAGGAAAAGTGTGAAGAGGAGAAGGCGGCTACGATGGTGGACGGAGAAGAGGCTACGATGTAGGAGGAAGCGTACGAGGAGTAGGGACAAGGGGAGTGTAACGGTGGAGGAGGAGACGAGATGGGTACGATGGACAAGAACGAGGACATTTTGTCATTGCGGTTCCAACACCACTACTCCTATGACCGCGGCTGTGCGTGGCCGATCCACTTGTTAACAAAACAACCACAAATACTAGAATATATTTTGCACAGATTTGTCATTGCTGAACAATCTATGAATATCAATATTAATATATTGTGCGGCAGGGTTGCACACCCTGATGGTCGGCGGCCCTTGACTGGCCGGCTGCCAACCTGCCGACCGCTTGGCTGGTCGGCACCTACTGGTAGGGGGTCGTCGGCACCCTGCAAAATAAAGAAATAAATAAATAAATAAATAAAGAAATAAAGAAATAAGGAAATAAAGAAATAAAATAAATAAATAAATAAATAAATAAATTGGGGTCCAGAACCCCTAATAACACCACCAACACCCCCATAGCGGCCCCCAATACCCCCATACATCCCCCCAACACCCCCAAACCGCCCCCAACATCCTCCTTACCCCACCCAATACCCTCTATACAACCCCTATATCCCCCTATACTCCAACCCCAACCCCCCCCATCCCCACCGGCACCCAACACCCCCATAGCGGATTTGGGCTGTACTCAGCAAGCACAGAACAGGCCCCAACTCAGATTTGAAAAAAAATCAGTGGATTGTTGTTTTCTGGCTGGTCGGCAGACCGCCGACCGGTCGGCCCTACTGGTCGACTGCAATACGGTCGGTGGTCGGGGTCGGTGGTCGGCAGGCATGCATCCCTGTTGTGCAGAGATTTGTCATTCCTGAACAATCTATGAAAGCTATCAATTTAACTAGAACCCGTAGTACGTCAGTATATACTTCTTCTTAGTTTCAGTAACTTTTCACCTTATTACTCCTTCGTCTTTCTTCTTCCTTCATCTCCGTGTTCCTTCCTTCTTCCACCTCCTCCCTTGTTCGTCTTGTTGTTTCTTTTTCCATTTTCTTTGTCTTCTTCTTCTTCTTCCTTTTCTTTCTTGCTCTTGTTCGTCCTCCTTTTCTTTCCTCTTCTTCTTCTTCTTCTTCTTCTTCTTCTTCTTCTTCTTCTTCTTCTTCTTCTTAAATGCTCTGGCTAGGTTTGCCAGAGCCACCGGTTGGAGACGCTGAGCGGGCAGCTGGTGACACGTCTGTACGCCGGGTCGGAGATATCTGCTAACGCATAGTGACCGGCAATATTAGGTACATGATAAGCCGCGGTGCACATTAATAGGCGATTTAGAGGCCCAGTTAGCCGCGGTGTACATTAGTAGGATCATGGTCGGGAGGGGTAGAGCTAGAGGCAGGGATTATGAATCTAGGCTCGGTAATCATGTGGACCGTTCACTGAGGAATGGGGTCAATTGTTTTTGGGGGGCAGGCACGATAAGCAGTAGAACCTTTTTGGGGGTCAGGCACGATAAGCAGTAGAACTGTTAGGAGAACTTAGGACTCCTAGGAGGTTTCCCGGTTCACACGGTCAGAACCCGGTTGTATACTAACAGGTCGGGTATGACGTGCTTGAAACAAACATGGAGGGGAACCGGCGTGTAGTAATGTAATAATGTATGGGTAGATGCGTAAATGGTGATAGAAAGTGGTAAATTGGTTAGAGGGCGGGAGCGCTGGATGGCGGGAAAGACTAGGCAGATCACCTGGTACTAGAGTCTGGGCTCTCTAGGACCTGGTGCGTGCTGTAACGACCGGACAGGAAAGGTGGTGAGTATAGCTGC